GGCCGTGCCTCGGAAAACAGGCGTCCAGGTTGGATACTGCTTCGCGGTTCCCTTACAGCGGGTTAGCGGGAAATATGTGCATATATACATATATATACATGTACATACATATATATGTATATCATAGGGTTTAAGGTTAGTAGAGAGTGAGGAATTACATTATCTAGGGATTGTATAGGGTTTAGATATGGATTATATTCCCGTATTCCCTACGAAGAACCAGTAAGTGTTCTAAGTGTTGGGTTTAGAGGCTGTATACAACTGTATATTATATATATATATGCCAACTGTTACAGAGTGAGGGCTGTGCCCAAGGTTTTGAGGTCTAGGGTCCACATGGGTCCGTTTCCTATCAATTTTCACATACATTAGGCATATACAAGCGTTTAGCGTCTGATGGGGTTCAGGATCTAGGGGTTACAGATTACAACACTTACGAAACCACGAAACGAAAATGCACAAACACACTCGACACGCTACCCGACCTCCCATCCCAATATTGTCGGAAACTCCTACACTGCCTGACCGAGTCTGGGAGCATCAGCGTGCACTCCATTGCCCTAGCCAATGAGATCTCCCATGGCAACTTATGACAAGGATAAACACCTGAAAACTCACCATTGAAAAAATCTGCTTGAGCACCCGCCTCATCTTGTTAGGCAGCGGCAACTAAGCCAAACATGAAATATGATGTAGCTGCAATGCAAAACGTAGACCAGATATTCATGATGTCCTTTCGGAATAGCGGGAACTTTACCCAGGGTAAACTGTGGCACAAACTCACTGGCGGCGCATCTAGACGTTTTCCAGCAAGCACCGCAGATATGGGTATGCGCCTGGAGCGGCCCCTCTTATAGCATTCCTCAACATTACTTTCCTTAGGCTGTAGAATCTTGAGCTTCGGCACTTCCATCAAGGGACCGGCAACCTGACACATACCCATGTTAATTTGGCCATTAGGCAGTCCTGAGAATGAGATGTATTCCCCGCTCAGATGAGACAAGATCACTCACCTGTCCCACCTGAGTCAGCGTTTTTGGAGGGTGCTTGAAAATTGAGCGTGGGTCAGCTCTTCGCCAGGTAAAGGGCTGTCTTGAATTCCCCCTGTGACCTCAGCACCTCCTGCAAATGGTTTACTCTAAGCCGCTAAGATCCCCTGCAACTTGAAAAATGCTCACTTCTGATGGAGCACTGCGTACCACTACGTAGTGCCCCCTGTTATTGAAGTCAACCCATTTCGGGAACCGCATATACAATGAAGGCGCCTAAATGAACAAACATGAGGTCTCGGGGATGCCAATGGTTGTATAAGGATTTTGACTTGTGATAACGGCTAAGGCTTCCACATGATCCTCCTAGTATCCTCTTTAATAAGCCCTATAGTAGTCCCTCTCCTATATCCCCCCTTTCAGAAGTTTAGACTATAGCTCACATCAAGAATGTAAGATGTTGCTAAAAGGGAGCCAGGCACTGCCAAGAAGAACGCGGCTTGGACCACAGCTTTCGGCACCTTCTGCCCGAATGGAGAAGTAAGAAAGACTAGTAAAAATGGCGATAAAATATAACGGCACTAAAAGTTACAATAATTACTGAAACTATGGCGGTACACGCCGGAGCAGTAGTCGTAGCAAGAGTACTGAACAACAGTAGCAACTGAAAAAGCCGGCATGGTATAGGTTTACCCTGTTTACGCATTCAGGAAAGATAAAGGGTACTCCTACACTGCGTCGTCGTCGCCGCCGCCGCCGTCGTCGTCAATAATCCCTGAACCAAAAGGCCTATACACCCCCGATCCCCAAAACTCTCAGTGTTTGAGCCCTGCAACCTACCCCCTTAAACATTCCTTAGACCCTGTGGGGTACCCTGTTGGGATACTGTACAAGAATTGTCGCGCATTACTTGTTGGATGTTGGTATAGTGAAACATAAGTATTTTCAACCCTGACCCAGCTGAATCCCTTACCCTAAACCCTAGCCCAGTGCCCTAAACCCCCAACCCCTAATCCTAA